AAAGAAGGTTTCAAATTATTTCAAATTAACCACCAATATTAACGATTCGTTTACAATGAATAGTCACAAACCGTTATGTCTACGCCTGATCAGCGATCGCATTGATCGGTGAATAAAATCTCGTAAAAAAATACAGGTGGAAAAAAAAGAAATACTTCAATGTATCTAACATTTATTCCTGTCTAAACATACACTGATAAATCTGTCACGTCTTATTTTGTTGCTAAACTGGCAATAGTAGTGCATATACGTAAGTCTACAACACATTGAATTTAGCTTTGTCTTTACAGTTGCAAGAAAAATAGTTTTAGTGGTCCTTTGAAAATGTGTACACCAAAAACAAATTAAAACTATCTTATTATTTATTGTTATAATGCAAGGTCCTTTAAAAAATGTATTCTGGAAATAACTGCTGCGTTTCCTTTTCTGTCCCAAAACCGTGCCTCGATTTTAAGCGACAAAGCGAAAATTACCCCGCACGACCTGAAATAAGGCTTCTTGGGAGTCGTTCCTCCATTTTCTCCACCACCATTATTACTAGCTGTCTAATGGATCAAGCTAAGCAGATTTAAATGCAAGCAGCTGACTACGGCGAATTTTGAAGCGACTACAGGTAATTTAGTGCTTTCCGCTGTAAAATCCCCAAAAATCAAGCTGGCGTTTTAATTCGCAAGCTAATGGAAAGACAGTGTGTTCATGATGAAAGTAACAAATTCGTTTAAAATTCAGTTAATTATTTTGTGGAAAAACGCTCGGACACGTCGATTAGTATTTTTAGTTGCGGATTTTTTGACATAAGAAAATCGTATACAGGGTGTCTCAAGAACATGCAGCCATATTAATTTTTTTTTAAGAACACCCTATATATGCCATCTTTGTACGGTAAATTCTGAACACTTTTTGAAGAAAATTCCCGCAAATCCATACAATAGTTGTAAATCACAATAAGTGTCATTTAACCAAATGTGCAAGGTATAAATTTCCAATTAAAAAACTAGTGAAGTGCTGTGAGAAAATACAACGACAGGCGAAGTGCAAACCCAATCAAACATTGAAATATCAAGTATATGGAACCAGTTCTTCGACGTAGATCATACAAAACCCAATATCGATTAGGACGAGGTTCACATCTAGATGGCATCTCTGAAACCAGCAATACACTAAAGCGATACGTGAGTCACATACTTCTACAAATTGGCCAATTTAAAAATTTCATCGTACGAATTCGTATATAATAATCAATATAACATACCATATCTCTAAAATCAAAAGTTTTCGTAATAATGACGTTTGAAATGTGATAAATCGAAAAAAAATGTATGTTTAATCATAAAACATTATTTGAATAACAATTACTTTATAATATTCAATGTTTTGTCCGTTTACTTCAATACATTTTTGTAGTCGAAGGATTGTTTTCCGTTGAAAGTTTCCAATTACCTCTGCTGGAATAAGTCTTATTTCCTGGCATTCTCTGTTTCAGGTCACCAAGATTATTTGGTCTATTCACATAAACTTTCGATTTCAATTAACTCCATAAGAAGAAATCTAAAGGGGTTAAATCCGGTGACCTTGGTGGCCACTCGATAGGACCTCTGCGTTCAATCCATTTATTAAGGAAAGGTAAGTCAAGAAATTGTCGAACTGCAGTTGCAAAATGAGAAGGTTCTTCATCGTGTTGGAACCATATGTCATTATGAGGAATATCTGGGTCTTGTGGATTACGAAACACAACAGCTAAAACGGGGATGAGTTCAAACTGAAGAAAGTCTAAGTAGCGTTATCCATTTCTTCAAAGAAATATGGTCCAAGAATTCGGTTTTCGACAATACCTGCCCAAACATTTATTTTTTGACAATGTTGTGTGTGACGGACTTCTGTCCAACGAGGATTTTCAGTTGCCCCGTACCTGCAGTTTTGTTTGTTTCCGTGTCCATTTGAAACAAAAGTAGCCTCATCAGAGTTTTGATTATTCATCTCAGTTATCTACTCACAAAACTCCGTTCTTTGGTCAAAATCGTCTTCTAATAGTCTACTGCATCAAAATTGTCTAGGGGTCAAGGAATGAAAAACGATTAATACGAAGAAAATTGTTTTGTTTAATATAAAATTTGGCATACCAGGCTGTTTTTGTTGGCTTTTAAAAAAATGTTCAGGGTTGTTAAATTTAAACATTTTATTTAAGTACTTGTGTGTTTTGAAAATATCAATTTTCAAACGTCTTATTATGAAAACCGCTGATAGAGATATGGTATGTCATACAGAAAGCGTTCAGAATTTACAGGACGGACAATTAAAAAATGGCATAATATACACCGTGTTCCATTAAAAAGATCAATGATGACTGCGTATGTTTTTCTTGAGACACCCTGTATTCAATTTTCTTATGTCAAAAAATCCGCAACAAAAAGTACTAATCGACGTGTCTGATTAATTTTTTGCAGAATGGTGGAGTGAAAAGAAATTACAATTCCTTGCTTACAGAAAGTTATGGACATAGAATCTCAAGAAGTGTTTTTTGTTCAACTTATTTTCATAATTAACTTACTGAAAGGAATAATTGTGTGGGCCGCTGTAAAAAAAAAACACTTTTTCCTCAGCGTAATGAAAATGAGGCGTAAAATTCGAGAACTTTTCGGTTGGGTAATTAAGCATTTTTAAATCCAAAAGTGTAAGAGGGGGACATTTGTTTGACCGTGGGCGGTGCTCATTATATTTCGCTTTTCCATATACCTAGGAGAAAATTTGCTTCTATTGTAATTTAATTATCCTTATCTAAACTTGTAAATATTTTCTCTTATAACATAGGGTAACAAAATAATTGTATAATGAAGTTACGTCGAAAGGCTTCGCCAGTAAAGTCTGTTATTTGTTCCAACTACGGTTATTCAGATTAGCGATCATGAAAGCCTGCCATTATTAAGGCAGCTTATTTAAATATAAATTAAAAACAAGTACCCGATTAATCTTTTCAACGTGTGAAAGGGGAGAAACGGTTGTAGTATCGACGTGTTCTTCTATTTCTTTGTGGTTGCCCCTTTCCGTCATTTATAACCTTTTTCGAAATGACGTGAACAGGTCGTTAATAAGCCATAATGATACAGGACGTCACAATGTTACTGCTGCTGAAATTTTATATACACGTTTAGTTTGGATGACAATGCATGGTTAGCTAAGTGACGTCATTCTAAATCCAATATGGCGGACTTCCAAAGATGGCGGACCAGTTATTCTTTATGCACCCCCATGATATTGGTATCAAATGAAAGGGTTTTGCTGAGAAGAAAACGAAAATAAAATGACTCCACTAAAAGCTTGTTTTTAAGACAATTTTTATACATGAGCTTATTCTTTTCTGCTTGTTATTCTTTCTATACATGAGTTCGGATCTAGCGATCTTTGTATAAACCACACTATTCTTCCACATTAATTCCACACTATTCTGAATCGACCTATGCCATCTCGATGCATGTCCGAGTAATACGACTTAATTTATGCAAATTACATTTTTGACAGGAGACCTTCGTGACGTAGGGTCGGCTCATTACTATTCTACATTATTATATCGCGTGCTGGTCAAGAATTCGATCTTGAGAGACTCGCACGACGCATTCTATAGCCCTTGAGGCCTTATAGCAACTTTTCTGATAAAACTGGTATCATACTTTACTCGACTTTTCGAAGATCATTATTTAATTACGAACGGATAGATTTTATAGAAACTAAATTTGAAATAAAACACTCGAAGCGCTCTCTGCACACAATAAATAAAGCTTTGTATCCTCAATCCTAATTCCGCTTAATCTAGCTCCGCTCGAGTCAGTTTTGGTCTTTCCTTTGTAATAAGCGACTGCAAAGGTAGATGCAAGGCTTACAGCACAATAAACCGGCCTTATAAAAGACAGTTTGACTTCTCGACAAAGGGAATAAATATTTACCGGTTGTTTTCAATGAAACAAGAGTCCAACTAACACATACGCAGTGTGCAAACGCCTGTTAATCGTTATTAAAATACGCTGTACACGAATATTACAATTATTGTTACCTACTATGAAACAATACCACCTAAATCTATTTAAGATACAAGTGTAAACATTCATTTTTTATTGTATATTGCATCCATTTACTTCAACACCACACTTTCAAAGTCAACCTCCAGATTCGAAAACCGCTTCGACTAGTGAAGTCGGAATTTTGTCCCATTTTCCAAGTCAAACGTCGATCAGCCAGGAAGAACCTCAAGCCGCTCCAAAGCTAGAGTACGTTCAAGATTCTCGAGGGCTGACACCGAAGGTCGTCCAGATTTCAAAGCGTTCCCGTTAGTAAGGCGGTCGAACGTCGACTTTGACAACTTGCAGTTATACAACCAGATACATGTACCTGGCCAGTACGATTAAAATTTAAGTTTGCGAACTTAGAGCCAATATAGTCAGTAATTGCTTCTTTAAATAGATTAGAATAGCAATACATCGGCATAAAAAGTGTCACCGAAATGAGGCGACGTATAATTTTACTGAATACAGTGAATTTAAATGTACTTTCGCTGCAAACTCGTTTTTTACGGCGACCAAGCCGTCTATTACCCTCGTTTAAAAACTGCACCCGTATTAACGCGAAATTTAATGGACAACTAATCGCGCAAGTCAACTGCTAACGCCCAATTTGGCGCAATTCCAAACGTGGCTAGATCGCAAAGTCGCAACTGTAATTTACTTCGTACCTATGTGGGTTTAATTGCAGCAAAATGCATCTTTCTGATAACGTTCGCGCGGGTTCTGTTTACCTCCCTTGAAAATTCTTGAGACTTTTATTTGTTTCACCGTAAAATATTATTTAATTTTAAACGAAATTTGATTCTGGCATACTTTATGGCCGAGTTGCTATAAAAATAGAAATATAATTACCTGGTGTATTTTATTGTGACACAGTACACTTAACATCCAAATTAAATTGTTTTCTGTGGGTGCAATTTTCAACCTTAGTCTTCAAAAAGGTATAGAATAAAACTCATGAATAACTCGTACACTAAAATGAGATATTTCAAAGCATACGTTTTGTATGTATTTCCTCTTGTTATATCAGGTAAGAATATATCTTCGCTTTCGAGCACGATATCTCAGTTTTCGCCCATTTCTCATATTTATCTGCCTGTAGTATTAAACATATTTATTGCTTGTACTGTGTCGTCAAAGCACGATATTGAAGAAATTTTTGCTAACATTTTGATTACTAAATCAACCAAAAAAAATCGCTGGAAATATTTTTCAACTTCGTAGCGCGGCCACTAGAGGACGCAATCTACTTACCAAAACATACAGTTAATTTTTTCTCAGAAACGTTTCCTATTCAGGTATATTAAATATAGTGTAGTCAAGGTAGCTTAAAATTACGCATTATTTCGAAATAATTATGGGAAGCATGGATTCTCCTAAAACCTTTTGAAATTACTTGGAGATAAGTATTAGAAAAAAGTTATAACTTATTTTTGTACGCTAATTGTTTTTTAATTGTTTAAACAATAATAAATAGTTTTTTAAGAACATTTAAAATAATTCAATGAATTTTAAATCGAATTCTTTCAAATTGACAATAAATGAAATGAAAATTCAAAGTGGTTGATCCAATATGGACGACTATTTTAAACAATTTATTTAACAATTATCGATTTTAAATCAAACTCGCTCATATTGTAATATAGAGGTTCGAAAAATGAAAATTATAAATGGCTAAACTAATTTATTGCAAAATAATTAATCGAGTTCTTGCTCTTCTTCAAAAATAACAGGGCAATTAAGGCTTTGAGCCAATAAAATTGAAAAAAAAATTTTTGATTTTAAATACAATATTACAAAATCAAAATCCACTTATTTATTCATTAATTATTTTAAAAATGGATCAATATTCATATATAAATATTAAACTCATACATTTATAGGTTTAGCATAAAAGAAAACGAATATAAATACATTAAATGCAAACAAGATTATTTGTAATATTAAGTAATAATATTACATTAAAGAATTACAAGTGTACCAGAGTAGGTATAACCTCAAAATGGAAAAAATATGTGAATAATACACGTTTTAACACACTGATGACTGCAGCTTACTCGAAAACTTAAAAAACATATTCTTATACCATTTATAATAATAATTATTTAATTCTTGTAAACGAAAAACGCTTTTAAAATAAATAAAACTGTAAGTAACAAAAAAATATTTGGTGTGCTCACTGCTTAGTTTCGTCACCTAAACTCATATCTGTGTCTACATCAATAAAAGAACTTATATTCGCAATTTCAGATACAGAATATACGTTTTAAAAATGAATATTAAAACAATTCATCAAAAATCATTATTTTTTGCTGTTATAACAATTTTCCACTTATTACTATAAATAAAAAAAATATTTTTCGCTGGATTTACTTTTCTTAAGGTCTTAGCTTAATTCTTTGATGACTTATTAAACAAAAAAAATTTTGTTGTTCATTATTAAACTTTATTTAACAATAAATTTCACAGATTTTTCATGAAATATTTTTATTTTTTGTTATTTTCTGTTTTTTCAACTATTATTTCAATTTGTTTAAGGAAAATAAAATGCACCATCTTAAAGTAGAGATTTTAAGCTTTAAAAAGTGCTCTCATAAAGTTTCAATTTCTCGTTTACAACTATAGTTTTTTATCTATAAAGTATGGCCTAAAATGTAAAATTAGTGATTTTTTAAAATTGTTGAATATGTTGGACTCAATATTTTTCAAATTAAATTTTTAAGATTTTTTCTATATCGGTCACTGTTTCAATGGTCATTTGAAGAGTAATCTGTGAAAGTTACAGATATTTATTTTAAAAATTAAAAGAATGACAGCTACTTCATTTTCATTGTACAAAATTATAGAATGACGTAACTTTGTTGTTTTAAAGACATAAAATTTTTATAGCCGGATGACTCTTGTTTCATTTAAATTTTTGTGAGGTCGATTTGATCAATTAGATCAAAAGTTATAACAAATTTAGTGTAGTGCGCTCGGGGCCGCGTCTTATTTTTCGTACGCTAGAAAAAAAATTCTTCAGCCCTCAATTCGCATTTTAGAAAAAAACTTTATTAACATTTTTTATGTAAAATTTCCAGTTCTTTCGAATGGCGCAGTAATTTTTTTTAATTAATTTTTTTTATATATTTTGCAAAAACTGTAATATTGCAACTAATTTGTTAAATAAATAATTTAACGTACACTCTACAGTTGGTAACTTTTTACATGTTGTTTCTGACAACTTTACAAAGCGAAAAATAAAAAGGTCTCTCTTCCAGTAATTTTCGCGAAGTCACAATCTATCTTGACTCCACTAATAGTACAAATATGGATAGCTGGATTCATTGCACATAACTTTTTTTATTGACATTTTGATGGGGTAGATTCTTTTATAAACGCATTTTGTTTTGGTAATCAAATGTCTTTTCGTTAGCGTTGTGTTCCTCAATTCACTATCATTATTTATTTTTTACTCACTAAATTGCTTGATGACAAAAAAATATATCAAACCCTTTTTGGCGTCAAAATGTAGCTATTTTTATGGTCCTAACCTAACCTATAAAAAGTTTTATCCTGCTATTTCACGTTTTTAAGAAAACCTGAAACAACCTAAACTTCTGTTTTCGAGAAAATTGATTTAGAAAATTAACCATAAATGTAAGTCGACCCTGTGCATCTTGTGCACGTGCGTTGTGTGTTGCAGCCGGCGTATATCTATCACCCTTCTCAAGGAACACCCTTATTTAAGAAACACCCTATATACAGACCCATCATAAATGATTACCCAAGTAAACATCAAGCGTAGACAACCAACATTACACCATTGGTACTATCAACTAAAAGTTACTAAACTTCAGTGAAGTGGTTGAAGGGGATAGTAGAATTAACCTCAGTGCTGGTAATATAAGTAAATATGCCTAGGCTACCATTAGCACGTTTATTTCCAAATTTCAATATCACTAATTTAGATTTGAAGATTAAAAAAAATATTTCTTGCATCTTTTAGATCTTAACGGATTTTCCCTCGATGATTTTCCGCAGGACTGTGGCAAAACAAGATATGCTGATGATGACAAAGCAGCTGGTATTATTAACGTCACGCATGCAAAGTTGGGCGAATTTCCATGGATAGCTAGGATTGGAGTACATGATTTTAAATCAAAGTTCTTTTATTGCTCGGGATCGCTGATTCACCCGAGCTACGTACTTACTGCAGCTCATTGTGGACAGCAGAGTAATATGTAAGTGACACAGAGGCTTATGGTCAGCGTACTCGCTTTGCTTAAACGACAGTTTTCGCATAAAGGACGACATCTTTGTCGGTGTGTTTACAATAGCTTTGTTCCTAGAGCAGTCCAAAACAGTATTTAATAGTCAGAACATCAAAATTCATTGTTTGGAAACTGATTCTAGTGCACTAGGAACAAAGTCATCGATTAAACTCGACCTACACTCACTGCGTTAGAACTTAGACCGCCCATATACAGGGTGTTAAAAAAAGAGTGTAAAATATTTCAGGAGGTAATAGTGTGAATCAAAATAAACATGGGTCCGCAAAGTAACGGTTGCGGAGATATGGACCACTATTCGTTTTTCAAACATTTTATTTTATTAGGAATAAACCGACAAAGCAAGCTTTTAACAAACAAAAAACAAAGTTACAGAAAATGTTCAAAGTGCCCTCCGTCCATTTCCAAGCAGGCACGACATCTTCGTCTCAACGATATTCGAACTCTTTCGAAAACACCCTCCTTGGTTTGGATTTCTTGACACTTTTGATTAATCCGTAGCTGCAGCTCTTCCAGGCTATTTTCAGGAGTACCATACACTAATGTCTTCAAATATCCCCAAACAAAGAAATCTAGAGGGTTCAGATCAGGCGATCTTGGAGGCCATAAAACAGGTCCGGCCCTTCCTACCCATTTATGTGGAAAAGTTTGGTGTAAATGCTCTCTAACGGCCATGGAAAAATGAGCTGGAGCACCATCATGCTGGAACCACATTTATTGCCTCTGATTCAAAGGAATGTCTTCCAAAAACTCATACAGTGTGTTCTGCAGAAAGTTGAGGTAAGCAGAGGTATAAGAAAATACACAACGTTTTTGCAAAATAAAAAAGGGGCTAAAAAACATAAAACATTCCATATCTCCGCAACCGTTACTTTGCGGACCCATCTTTATTGAGACTTTTCTGCTTATATTGGTTCATACTATTATCTCCTTAAATATTGTACACTCTTTTTTTAACACCCTGTATATTTCTTTCAATTCATTTGTACATAATCGTGTATTTCAATAATGTAACTTCTATCAATCTCCAGGGGTTCCGCAAGGGTCAGTCCTGGGGCCACTGTTATTTGTTATTTTTATAAATGATCTTGCTGAATTCCTCGATGTCGATTATTTACTCTATGGGGACGACTTTAAGTTGTTAAATCTTCTACACCAACTGAACAATATTGATTGTTGCCATATTTCTGTCTTATATCCAATTTGTCGAGCTTGTAAATGGCACTCAAAAAATTTCGTTCGACCAGTAGGGAGAGCTGCCGCTTATGTAAACGTTAACCATCAGCAATCTGATACTGATAAGGTTTCTGAACGTCAGTATAAGGCCAATCCAAATATTTCGTTTCAGAGTCAGATTGGGAGACAATAACCTAAATAATGAGAAGGACTGCCAAGGCAATAAGTGCGCTCCGCCATATCAAGACATAGATATAGATACGCATTTATTTTCCGCTCACTGTCGGGTCACGAACGTCAATGATATGAGCATACTGTCACTGAAGAAACCTGCTACAATTAACGGTAACTATTGTACAAACCAACAGGAATTAGAGTTGATGCAATACAACCCAAAGTGCTTTAGGCAACAACAGCCTATATGAGTTTCATTTCAGAATTCGTGCGACCAATCTGCGTTCCGAGAGAAACGTTAACACTAGACTATCTTCGAAAACAGAGTATTACTACTGTAGGATGGGGCGTGACTTACTCGGGATGGGGTGTGGTAGATAGCAGCAAATTTAGAAAAGAGAGAGACTTACAGTACGTCGAAGCACCTATAGTAGACCGTGATGAGTGCAATAAAAACTACATACGTAAGTTGAACGAGAACGAGCTTTGTGTGGGATATCCAGAATGTGGTAAGTAAAACATGAACATTTGGGTATGGAAACGACGTAGTCATACTTTACATAATAAAAGTTAAATAAAACTCAGAATAGACCTTAAAGAAGTAACTGATTGAACCACTCTTTTTCAGTCGATGATCCTTGCGTGGGAGATTCTGGCGGCCCTTTAATGGTGTCGATGAAAACTAACGAAAACCCCGTGATGCGAAAATACATAGTTGGGGTTGCTTCACATAATCTACAGTTGTGTCAAAAGGGTGAAGGTAGTCCTGTAATGTATACAGATGTGTCCTCTTTTGTAGACTGGATGGTGGACAAAATTGACCTAGACATTAGCTCCAAATCCAAATCCAAGTCTGCGAAGCAACGATAAAAATATTTTTTCTGTTAACAATAGCAAGCAAACGAAAACAATGAATATGTGTTTTATTACAACACTTATGTTTTCTATAAACCACCCCAATCGTTTTCCATAATCTATGGAAAGTAAAGCAAAGCTTTATGGTATGTCCCAACCTGTTTGCGCAGACAGCTCTTTGACATTATTTTATCGAGTTCTGCGTTCCATTAAATTCTAGATCAGCAACGTTGCTCTCTCGTATTACCAGAGAGTGATCGGAAACATTTTCTAAAAACTGATGACTAGTTTATTAGACAACGAAAAGTAAAAACGTCATTGTTTATTCCAGATGCTTTCTTCGTAATAAGAGTCAAAAGAGAAAAAAATGTTGTCTTTTAAAGATTTAAAAGAGCACCCAGCATTGTATGCTGCGTAAGCAAAAATTGAATCCAGGACTGATTAAAAGCTACCAACAAACACGTTTAATTTAAACCTTGTCTCGAAACGCTCGCGTTGATAAAGTCCATAAAACTTCCACCCCGCCGTAAACAATCCTCTTTTTGTAGACAATTAAAGTGCAAATGGAAAGGGGTTTCAGCACCACTTATCACTTATCGCGTCGGTTATATGCTTCGATTAACATGTAATTGTAAATCGACTGACGCCTTTGACCTCAAGCTCGGACGCTCATCGTGAGAATGCCACCGCTTTAAAATTAAAAAGTTAAATTAATACAAATTGTGCAACAAAGATCAGGGATATCGATTGTTGAATAAAGACGTGAATGGTTTTCGTTCTTGGAAAATATAATTTGTAACAGTTCTGTAAAAATACATGATATTATGAAAATACCCCAATCAACCCACTAAAACCATTCGTCGTATGAAGACTGCAAGCAAATTTCAAAAACACTTTTGAGGGCAGAGCCAGATTGCCGAGGGTCGACGTCCTACTGAAGATCGCCCAGGGTTCGTCGCGTGCCCGTTAGAAAGGCGATCGAACGTCGGCTTTGCCCACTTGCAGTTATACAGGGTGTGGCGTGTATAATCTATAAAAATTGAACTACAGCTTCCTAAGGATATTTGTAATAGAAAAGTCTTATACGAAAAAGTTCTATTTGTGCGTTTTTTTTTTCGTGCATTAAAGTTCAATTATGGATCAAAATATTTTCTCTAGAACGGTCCTGTCTGTGTGCTGTACGAGGAGTTACCTACTGTAGACCAGTCGCGTAAGCAAATCGTTGTTAAAAGATAAAAAGATACTTCTCGATTTTTGGGGAATTTTTCAATGAAAAAGTACAAACTAAGAAAACTAAATATTTTAAAAAACTGATATTTTCTTATTATAATAATTAATAGTAATTACTATCTTAAATGCATTGGTATTACTGCAAGAGTTCGCAAACAAAACCACAACTAGTGTACGTAGTACGGAGTACAAACTCCATTAAAACATGGAACAAAATGAAATAAAACTTACCATTTCTAGAGAAAATGTTGAAATTGATCCCCATTAACGCGGTACAAGCATGGCATCGACGCACCCAATTTTGGCGAATATATACCCAAATTCCAGGTATTCCCCTAATTGTGTCAGCAACTTCAAGTATACAATTTCGCAATTCTTCCACCGTAACAATTGGAGCTTTGTATACCAATGACTTCAACTGACTCTAAAGCTGAAAGTCCATTGGAGTTAGATCGGGTGCCACATCGTCCAATAATTCAGGCAACCGGTTCTCCAAAAAGCATATGTTCGTCCATTTAGTCGTCCTTCAAAGAGATAGGGACCCACAAGTACATCGCCTATTATGCCAGTCCAAACATTTACCGAGAACCGATATTGAAAATGAGTTTGCCTAATCGCGTAAGAATTTTAATCGGCCCATATGTGCATATTATGGACATTCACTTCATCACGGGTAAATGTCGCCTCATTTGTTACACAAACATAAGCAGGAAAGTCTACTTGATTGGCACATTGCCGTAAAAACCATCTGCAAAAACGCATTTGTTGATCACAATCCGGGGTAAAATCTGTTGAATTGGTTGCAGATGATAGGGGTGCAACAGCTGGCGCCTTAAGATGCGATGTACGGTACGAGATGAGGTTCCTACTTTCTGTGCGAGTCGCCGAGTACTAATTGTGGGTTCTTCGTCAAGATTTTCCAACCTTTCCTTGCTGACAACGTCCATCTCCTCGAGGAATAACACTTCCCGTACCTTGCAGCCGCTGAACGCACTGTAAGATTGTATTTGCACATGGGGGGATGACGTTGTGGCCATCGTTTCCGGTACAACCTAGTCGCCGTGAGCGCATTTTCTCCGGCTGCACCATACAATAACACCATATCGACACGTTCGGAAATAGTAAATGCATTGTTTTCTCGGTTCATTGTAAAACTAGATTGTGCACAAACTAAAAAATTAACAAAGTACAACAAAGTAACAAGTTTTCGTTGAATAAATAAACTTTAATTCACAAAAAAAACCGAAAATAGAACTTTTTCGTTTAAGACTTTTCTATTACCAATATCATCAGGAAGCTGTAGTTTAATTTTTATAAATTATACATGCCACACCCTGTATAACCAGGTACAAATCATTAAATATATTATTGTTAACAAACGTTGCACCATGTCGCCCAAGAATTAATTTCCGTAGCCAAGTCTCATATATACCTTCTACCTGTTCTGTATATACCTAGACATACAGTGTTAGTCACAGGGTAATAATTTGGTTACGTAACGAACACAACTAGTTCGACTAACTGTAATTCGCAAACTTCTCCAACTAACTCCATTAGAGGAACGCACTCTCACGCCTGAAACAAATCAGTTCCTCTAATTAGGTATGGTGATCAATAAACAAACCACACGAGGATACGTTTGGGTGTTCACCACACATTGTGGTCCCTGATCTCGTTCTGAAGGAATTGTAATAATAATAACAGTTACTTAGAGCAGTATATTATGTAAATAGTCTACAGGACGGAGGCTCAAAACAACGCGATTAAGGTTATTTTCCGTCAACCCCAAAATTTTTCACGAATCCAATTTTTTTACTGCAAAAATAATTTTGCGATAAATAAAAATCGGCAAAAATCTATGTTTTTCTTAAAATTATTGTCAATTGTGATTGACTATAGACTAGACTTTAGCACTTAATCGTTTTTATTGCCTTTCCGTCGTAGAAAAAGTTACGTATAAGACCTCAACATAAATAACTGCAATAAAAATTGATAATGGCAGGAAGATGTGAATTTTGCAACCCAATAGGTTCCTTTTGACTTACTAACCGATTTAATGTATTCAAACACCATTTCAGCTTCCTCTTTGCGTGAACCAGCTGCTCTTTATTGTCATTCGACGGCTTCGAAGCACTTTATCGCAAATTGCTCCACCAGGCTAAAATTACAAGGCTCCCATGGAAGACAGAGCGCCCTCGAAGTCGATGAGTTCTACCCATCGATAAGAAAACTATTCCGCGCCTCTACAGTACCGTACAGCCGGCCGCTTCGTGCCTGGAATTTATGATACGCCTGCAGGATTTAGGGATTCAAAACTTCAAACGACTAGGGCGCCCTGTCAGCTTTCTAAGCTTATAAATATTTAATTTTGGATTTTATTAATGATATACTTACATACAAATGGGTTTTGCAATTGATTATGTATGATTTGTGAGACATATGGCATTTTGTCTGCAGGTATTTGTTTGTAGTTTTGTGGCATACCTGTGAAAAAATAAAAAAGTAATGAGATAAACCCTCGCCTCAAAAGAATTAGTTAAGGGTTATTTATATTAAACTATCTGGATAGTTATTTAAACTCAGAGGTTATCCAAACACGTGGGAGATTTCCGGGTCCAGTCCAGTCCCTGCACATAGTATTTACAAAAGCCACGGAAAACGACGACTTTCTTATTAATAAAATGACTGACCACGACGACAATTTATTTGGTTCCAATGAAATAGACTAATTTTTTTAATGAAAACATTAATCACATTAAATCAAATTAATTATCCAACTAAACTACTAAATATAACCATTTCTTTTTATAAATAACGATTTGCCTTGACTTACTGTTTTAAAAATCACCTGAAAATCGTTATGAAAATTCGATAAAATGGCGAATGCGCCAGTAATTCTGAAATATTCACAAATCATGTAATTTTTAGCTGAAAAATAACTGTATGTCCAACTTTTTATTTATAACGCGTGACTGATTAAAAGAATTAACCTTCCCATTATCCTTTTTAATATAGAAAAAAGAAATCTTTCATACTTACCTCGTTTTCCTTTTCTCTTTGCTCAATCGCATTGACTTGTCTCCTCCTATATTGAAAACTAATGTGTTTACGTTTAAATATTTTCCATTCCCGCAGCCTGAAATAATTGTAAGTAATATATATTTAAACATTTTTCACTTTTACTATTTAATATCAATGAATTAGTTTAAAATTAAGATTTAAACATGCAGGTATGATTAAAATACCTATCGCATGTAAGCTTCTGGCTATTCGGTCATCCACAGTCATGTTCAAGTGTCTTCTTCTCCTTCAGAGAGTCAGCCTGAAGCACAAATTAGAGTTTCCAAAATCATATAGATACAAAAAAGGAATCAATAAAAGATAAATGGCAACATTTACATCTTGTAAATGAGATGCCCAGATAAGAAAGAGTCCGCTATAGGAGTGAAGGTTTTATATAAATTACCTATACTTGCTCCTATTTCTAAGTAGATTACCTGTACTTGATTGTATTTATAATGACGATAAACAATAAAATCTAATTATTTGCAGACAATATATTTACGTTCTAGAGTTGGTACAAAATTATAAGTTGGTACAAAATTTGTGTTAATATTTATGTAAGATGTCCCAAAAGTAAAACAGAATTTGAATTGTGCCCATTTTCATTCCGAAAAGTTGGCAGCATTGTTCAGGGTCACATGTTGTAGTAGGCAAGTTGCGGTTAGACAAAATGAAGGAAAATGGAAAATGGAAAATTAGAAGGTAAGGATTGTATTCGTATATTCAATAACCTTTTTAATTATCACCCCATCGCCTTACATTCCAATAATATACAATTTGTTATGTTCGAGTATAACTTCAGCGTTGTTTGAAATTTTCTAGCTTTGAAATTACATCGATTCTGCATCTTGTGCTGCTGATACTCCCACCTCAATATTATATTTTCATAGTCAATTAATAACCAGAAAAGGGTAGGTGTAGCAGGTGGGTTAAAAATTTAATAAAAATATTTTATATAACTCTCCTTTTATAAATCTGATAGAACGAAGCATTAGCAGTCCTATAATAATTGTAATTTTACAATGAAAATCTTCGCAGTATGTATTTCACCATTAGTTTTTTTCATAGCGTATGGTAAGGCAAATCTTTCTATATGTATATGTAAAAATTCAGGGTGATCCATTAACGGTACGGAGCGGGTGTATACATATAGAAAACTAGACGTGCTAAGGTTTATGAGGTAAAAAGTAAAAAGTAAAAGAAATAGATATAAAATATTTTCAAATTTTTGACTATGTCAATGTTATTTAAAGAATTAAATAAAGCATAACATCACTATTTTAGCAATAACTTTAAAACGAAAGAAGATATCGGCTTGTGTATTTATTTTCCTTAATAAATCGTCTATCAAGCCATGAAAAAAACCTATATCGTTGCATTTATTTTTTTTTAGAGAACGGAGACAATTACAATACTTTTCTGATTAGTCTTCTATCGTTACGCAGGAAAATAATATTTTTATTCCCATATCATAAAAATAAATTTTCCTGAAATCGATTAAGGCATTAAGAAGTTATGACAATTTAAAAATTTCAAGATGGCGTCCTTCATATTGACGGTGCTATGGTAATAACAAAAAAAAGTTTAAAGAAAACTTATGAAGGGTTTAACAACGTATCTAAAAAGTGAATATTAACTTGGATTATAAAAGCGAAATTTCTAAAAAAAAACATAAATATGAATATTTACATGATATCCAAAACTGCCAAACTCTATACAAACGTAAAGAAAATGTTTATATTTTGGTTCGTGCTACAGATTGTACTTATGACAAGTTATACTACAAACTGTCATTTCTAACATTTTAAGGACAAACATCTAATAGCAAAGACAAATTATGGAAAAATCTTCCAAGTGATTGCGGAAGAACAAGATTTGATTCTACTGCTAGAGAAGATGAAGACGACCGGATTATTAATGGCAAAGAGGCCATGCTTGGACAATTTCCCTGGGCAGCCAGATTAGGAAATAAATATAAAACAGGCTATACGTTTTTCCATTGTGGAGCAACCCTTATCACCAAATACTTCGTTGCATCGGCTGCTCATTGCGATGAATTCGGCAATATGTGAGTGAGTTTTATCATTACTAGACTACAAGCCCATCGGAAATTTTCAAGAGGTCATTTGACCCAGCATGAATTACGTATAATTCAATACTACTACATACAACAATAACTTTAGAAACTATGCCGTCAATTCTTGTTGGTACAGGTGTGTACACGGGTAAGCTAAACATGTCCACCAAGGGTGGTGGTTTTCGGCAAAACATTTTTGTACATATCTAAAGTATATAGGTTATACAAAAAAAATTAACCTCGACCTAATGCCGTACAAAAATAGCAATACCGGAAGCCAGGAAAATTTTTGATTTTCTAACAATTTTGGCCCGGTTTTTGGTGATTTACTACAGTACGGCATTTATACTGCAAGTTTCGGATTGATACGTAGATAACTGTTTTAGTGACGCCGTACGTATCTGCTGATACAGGGGTTAGGAATGCAGAGCGCAACCCTCTATCTTAACCCCCATATTACAATATTTTGAAAATTCCTTGTTATAAACTAAAAATATTATATTCAAAATATTATGGCTGTAATTGACTTTTCATAAGTAAAAAAATGAAAAAAACAATGCCCTATTTTTAACTAGTGGATTTTACATAGCTGATAATATTTTTCATTAAATTTTTACTACATTTTTAGGTCATTAATAACTGTACCGCATTTACAAATTTTCATCAGAAATATAACATAAACAATGAAAATTGCAATGCCGTAAATATTCGTTGGAACAATTCTCCGAAATTGTAAAAGTTCAAAATGAGTTTTATCCTAATTTCAAGAGAAATTTAATTTATACTGTAGAAATTATGATGGCATTGTCTTTAAGTTAAAAAAATGTATATAGAGAATCGAGAAAATATTTAACCTATATACTTTAGAAATACCGTACAAAAATGTGACCCCTTGAAATTTTCCGATAGGCTTGTAGTCTACACCACCTATAACATAAATCTTCATATTTATAGGCTTTTTGGCCTAGATTCTAGACTTAACACTCCTGGCGGCACTGTCTTAAACCCGTTTCTTTACAGCGTAAGAGTAGGTCAGACATTCGAAGCCAATGGCACCGAATGCGACAAGAATGGTGTATGTGCCCCACCCTACCAAGATATAAATATAAAGCGCTATATATTCGAGGACTACTGCCGAGGGACGGTACGTAATGATCTCATGTTGGTAGAACTGGAGACACCAGCTGAGTTTAATGGTAATGTTAGGGTTAATTAATTTTTATGTACTTCGATGCAACCGTAGCAAAATTAAACCACGAATGATACGCACGAATGAAAACTATTTAATTACAGAGGTCCGATTCTATATTCGTAGACGATGGTGCTTTGGTGAGGTTTGCCCTTGGATTAATAGTTTCGCAGCTACGTGCTTATCAAGCGTGGTGTCACGTTTGACTATTGTTTATTTTACTGGAATGCGTAAGCGAATGTGTAGAAATGGCACAAATAAATATTGCTAGTGGCTCAAATCATAATTACCAAAAAAGTCTAAATGATATAATTGAAAGACAGATTGATTTTAATACATTTGCTTAACACTGATGCCAAAGTCGTAATGTCAGTTTTTTTCAGATTTTGTGCAACCACTTTGTCTTCCGCTTACCTCGCCCCCACTAAGCAGTCTTACAGGCCAATATGTCATCACAGCCGGATGGGGTCTGCAGGATGGAACTAACAAAAAAAGTCTGTCCAAAAAGTTATTGTACATCGTTACACCCATTCTTAATCCATCAACGTGTATGTTCCAGTATATTTATTTCGAAAGAAACAAACAGTTTTGTTTAGATACGCCTTCCAGTAAGAAAACTTAAATTAAGCCTTTTACTGGTAGTTACTCAATTACAATTTTTAGGGATGACCATATGTGATGGAGATTCTGGTGGTGCTGCTATTATGTTCCAAAGAAGAGATGGCGTGAGGCGAGCCTATTTCATCGGAGTTGTTTCTTATCAAAAGAAATTTTGTACGTTCTCTCCGGTGTTCACATCGGTTCAGTACTTCTTGGACAAGATTTTAAGTAATATTGATAAACGCCAAGATTAGAGACATTCAATAGTTAAAAAAGACATTAGAGTAATCTAAGAAATCACATTTATCTTATATTGTAACTTTGAATAAAAATAGAAAAGGAATACGTCTTATTTCTTTCGAAATAGACCAATGTGACCAAGAAATTAGTCGAAAATTTAAACAACTATAATATTCTTCCTTATCAGAATCAACATAACATAATTTGGCAACTTTCAGTTGTCTCATGAGCATGAGCAACCATTTTTCAATTTGCATTTATCCAATATTGAAATTAAGATTCTTCATAGGTTGAAAATACTGTGTACATGTGAAAAAGCATGTATTGGACAAACGGGATGACGCGAGGTTAAAGCAGCGCATGTGTTATTTGAAGCATAATAGACCAAGCAAATTAAATTTTTACTCGAAAAAAGTCCTATCCGCGAGATTATTTGTAAAATTGTCTAAAGAAACATAATCCAAGACATCTCTCATCTCGTGAGTCAAAAACTTTTATTAGCTATCTTTTCTATTTAAACAAATGAGGAAAACAGTTTTTTCACTTTGCAGGGAAAACCATCAATTTTAGCGAAAAGTGACTCACAGACAACTTATAGGGAGTAAAATTATCTACAAAATGAGACTTATTAAATCAAAATCGGTTAATAAACAATTATTATTGCAAAAAAAAACAAGAAAAGTGCCCATTTCTTTTATTTGTTTATAACTATCGCATTTATTGTTAAAATTTTATAAAACCTATGACAAGTTGAGGGTTTTGTCATACTTCAAAAGTGTGCCAAAAGTAGGCGCAATAGTTTTCGCGCAATTCTATTTGTTTATAACGGAGACTCCAAATGTTATGAACTTTAAGCCTCTGTACAGGCGTTAATTTTCAACCAAACATGATTCTGAAAGCGTCATTGTAAT